TGTACAGGGACATCATCTGGATTTACGGCTTGTCCGGAATCAATGGCTCCTGTTAGATCCCAAGGTAGAGTTTCTTATGTCAGAGGTTAATGAAGAGAAAACTTCTGGAGACTTTAGGGAAATGGGACAAAGATTGGCACAGGAAGTTGTATCTTTTGTGAAAAAGAAGATGGACAAATTCTCAAGATCTGGAGTCCTCAGAACTATTAAGCTTAGCTTTGTTGGACATTCGATTGGAAACATTATTTTGAGAACTGCGTTAACAGGTTTGATGCTGAAGCTTGAGGGGTTTCTCCAGTTATCTTGAATGTTTCTAAATATTTCTCTACTTTTGCAGATAGCATTATGGAACCATATCTGAGATACCTGCATACTTATCTCTCTATTTCTGGACCACATCTAGGTTACCTATACAGTTCAAACTCTTTATTTAATGGTGGTTTATGGCTCTTGAAAAAGCTCAAGGGCACACAGTGCATTCATCAGCTGACTTTTACAGATGATCCTGATCTTCAAAATACTTTCTTGTACAAACTTAGCAAGGTACTGTTTGACTCCACATTCCCCTTAGTATGTGTGTTTCTGTTTTTATCAAGTGCGAACAGGTAATTAAAATTCCATATGGACCCAGCTGGATGAGATGTTGAGAAGGTCAAAATTGAGTTCCAGGCATTCAGAATGTGTTTTTTGAATCATTGTGTCCAAATTCTTTTTCATTTTCGATGCGTTGAACCTTATGTTATCTCCCACAATGTTTATAAGCTACCAGCATTAGAATTTACCTTGACTGAAAAAAAAAAATGACAGTTTCTACTTTCTTTCTTGCCCATTGATGTTCGTATACTTTTTCTCCATATTACTCAGGAAAAGACGTTGGAGAATTTCAGGAATATCATTCTGTTATCTTCACCCCAGGTATTTTACTTTGACATTTTTTTGAGTTCTTTTTATAGACCATTCAATGGTTGTCCCACACTTTCTTGTTCCTTTTCTTGTTCATTGTCAAATAGTTACATTCCTATGTCACATGGAGTACCACCATGTTGTGATAATGGACACATAGGCAGGACCCTTTCGAGTACATTGTTTTATGTGAGTAATTTAGTCTTGCTAGAGGGTTACTTGAGTGCAACAAAAACACTATGGCATGTCATAGGAAGAAAAGGAACCTGAAATCTGGTCCACTGTATTTTCTAATCTTATCTAATCATACGCACCAAACAATCTCTTCCTGAACTTAGAGTTTCCCAGAAATGACTTCGTATTCTAACTATTTGATGGTTACGTGCTCTCAGGATGGTTATGTTCCATATCATTCTGCTAGAGTTGAAATGTGCCCAGCATCTTCAGGCGACTCCTCAAAAAAAGGCAAAGCTTTTCTGGAGATGCTTAACAATTGCTTGGACCAAATACGTGCACCATCTTTTGAGAACCGGGTATTCATGCGATGTGATGTTAATTTTGACATCTCGTTGCAGGGGAGAAACCTCAATACCATAATTGGACGGGCCGCTCATATAGAGTTCCTCGAAACAGACGTCTTTGCAAGGTTTATAATGTGGTCCTTCCCAGATTTGTTCCGTTGATTGCAGGGGCTATTAACATTTGCCATGCATCTGCATAGTGTATTCTTGAGCCTCAATCGAGCACCATCGAACCTCCAACTTTTTAACACGAGGAACGATGTTATCACTGAATCTTCGGGATGGTTTTCCTCAAGATAGAGTTTCATCTTCTCGACATCCAGACTTGCAGGTACAATGAAATATCCCGCAATGTAAATTATTTGCTATATTTGCTTCACTTCGAGATCTTCCAACTTTAGCAGGCAGTTTAAAACTTAAGAGGTGCAGGGTAAATTAGTGGTTTTTTGTTTTTTTTCCCCACATAGAAATGTATATGGTATATTCGATGGTGATAAATGTAATGCACCACGACATAGTATTGCATTACGAAATCGAGCATGTGTTAATTTTATTTACATCAGAAGTCAGTTTGCACTGTATCAGTATCAAACTTAATAAAAGATTATGATTAGACTGGTTTTATGCTGCTTGTGTGGTTCTGAGGTGAAATATTTTCAGTTTGTGACAATGTAACGTAGATTATAGTGTTGGATCCATAGTTTTCATAGTTTCTTAGAAGTGCTTTTGAATTCGTAAATCAATAATAAAACGCCATGACTAAGGCTCGTACACTTCGTTTTTCGTTTATCTTTGGCTGATATGGTTTCATGGGCAGATGTTGGAAGTTGGTTGTGTTATGAAATTTAACTGTATAATCAGAAATTTGGTGTCGTCGAGATGAAGTTGATTTTGTATTTAATGTTTGGTTGTCTTCGTTAGTACATATCGTACACAATAGAAGTTGTATTAACGATAGTAGTTGAGTCAAGAGATTGACAAAGATACATGGAAACATTTTGTTCCGTTCTTGTGCCATTTGAGATTATTGGATTACGAATGATTGATCCCATCACCATTAGAGGAAAATAATTGTAGCAATGTAACGTAGATTATAGTGTTGGATCCATAGTTTTCATAGTTTCTTAGAAGTGCTTTTGAATTCGTAAATCAATAATAAAACGCCATGACTAAGGCTCGTACACTTCGTTTTTCGTTTATCTTTGGCTGATATGGTTTCATGGGCTGATGTTGAAAGTTGGTTATGTTATGAAATTTAACTGTATAATCAGAAATTTGGTCTCGTCAGGATGAAGCTGATGATGCATTTAAATGTTTGGTTGTCTTCGTTAGTACATATCGTACACAATAGAAGTTGTATTAACGATAATAGTTGAGTCAAGAGATTGACAAAGATACACGGAAACATTTTGTTACATTCTTGTGCCATTTGAGATTATTGGATTACGAATGATTGATCCCATCACTATTAGAGGAAAATAATTGTAACAAATAATTGGTTTTAAGTGAGATTTACAAAGATATATGTGGATCTTTTATTGAATTTTGCTATTTGTACATAAAAATGGTACATAATAGTTATCGAAAATGATGTAGAGTGAAAAAGATTGAATGAAAAAGTTAACTATATTTTAAATTGGCAAATAATAGAGTGCTATGTAGACATTATGTAAATTTTGATGTACACATTGTAAGGTTTTTATTTTATTTTATGTGTGGTGGGGATGGCAGTGGGTAGTAGATTCATGATTTTTGCTTATAAATTATCGGATGTCAAATCAATCTGTGTGAAAACAATTTAAACTTTTGAAGTCTCTTTTTACGTTATTCTAGGAGGAGACGGTAATAAACTTTAGGATCCGTTTGATTACAAAAATGAAATTTAGGTGAAAAGAAAATGAATTTTAGGGAATTGAATTAATGGATAATTATTTTTCTGAGAATTGTAAATTATTGTGTTTGATTGATATAATTTTTCACGTGAAAAATATTTAATTTAAAGTATTTTTTGGTGTTCATTTGACTTTGTTTTATATGAAAAATATCTATTAAAGGAATTGAATTTATTGGTATTGATGAAATTTGTTTCCATTGCTAAAAAAAAAAAAAATCAAAAAAATCATTTAAATTGGCAAATAATAGAGTGCTATGTAGACATTATGTAAATTTTGATGTACACATTGTAAGGTTTTTATTTTATTTTATGTGGGTAGTAGATTCATGATTTTTGCTTATAAACTATCGGATGTCAAATCAATCTGTGTGAAAACAATTTAAACTTTTGAAGTCTCTTTTTAGTTATTCTAGGAGGAGACGGTAATAAACTTTAGGATCCGTTTGATTACAAAAATGAAATTTAGGTGAAAAGAAAATGAATTTTAGGGAATTGAATTAATGGATAATTATTTTTCTGAGAATTGTAAATTATTGTGTTTGATTGATATAATTTTTCACGTGAAAAATATTTAATTTAAAGTATTTTTTGGTGTTCATTTGAATTTGTTTTATATGAAAAATGTCTATTAAAGGAATTGAATTTATTGGTATTGATGAAATTTGTTTCCATTGCTAAAAAAAAAAAAATCAAAAAAATCATTTATCTTTTGGTGTTCATTTGGATTTGTTTTATATGAAAATTTTCAATTAAAGGGAAATATTTTCTTACAATAATTCTTAGAATTTGTTTTCATTGTCTAAAAAAAAAAAAAATTTCCAACACAGTAAATCGGAATTGGAATTTTGCAATTCAAGAAAAAGTGGGAAAATTGCTTAGGTGGCAAGAATCATGAAAAATGAATTCCCTATAATTTTTTACCTATCAAACACTCATTTTTGGCAAAGGTGGAAATGAATTTCCATTTCCATGAAATTAGAGGTTATCAAACACTACCTTAGTAAAATGTTCACCCACATCCATTGATGTAAATGTTTTTGTCACTATTTTTTTTTTTATTTTTTTTGGATGAAAGCCAAAAAGGAATCTATATCAAGACGGTGTTGATGTGGGCTACTTCGGATATTATGCAGTCTTAAATGAGAGAGATAAGAAAAAAGATTATGAAATTTGTCAGCCATATTATACGGCTTATGATTTTATTTTATTTTTTATTTTTATTTTTTTAAAGGTTTGCACAAAGCTAAGCTGCACCAATAGGGTTTTTCCAAATTCTCATTTCTCATAGAATTAATTTATTTTTCCGTTAACATACGAATTAAACGTGGCATTAGATTATAGAGCTCGAATTGACTCACTTAGCCTTGTTTGAAATGAATTTTAAATTTAAATTTAAATTACATATTTTATGAGATTCACAACTGTTTAACAAAATTTTTCATCAACTTTAATCAAAATTGGCTGAAAATCTAATTTAATCTCTTATATTCTAATTGAAATGCATTAAGAGGGGATGTCATAAGAGGAAATTACACCTTTCTAGGGATTTCAAGTTCACTGTGCATAAATCATGGGCCCAACTATTCTAGTCAAATGTCCGGTATTAGACTAATTAAATAAAGAGGAAATTACACCCTTTAGAGATTTCAAGTTCACCGTGCATAAATCATGGGCCTAACTATTCTAGTCAAATGTCCGGTATTAAATAAAAACTACTTATTTAAAATAAGCGTGGTTCCATAGTTAACGTGTTTCAAATCTAATCTTTCTTCATTCTCATCAAACGAGTGAAACTGCCCTCAAACTTCTTTCCACGATCTCTGATAAACTACTCCAACAGTTACCAACTCTACGAATATCTCCGGTTAGTTATCCCACTCCGGCCTATCAAGGAACTAATCTTCGTCACATACCCAAAGCGAACTGAGTACATTCTTCGTCTATCCCCATCACTGTATCAAAAAACTTCCCATTTTACGATCGACAAAAAAATGACTAAACCCAAGGCGATAAACGTCCATTACATGCCAGAAAGGAGATGAAAGAGGAAGCATGAGGAAAGCTCAATGAAATCCCATATGGAAAAGTATGTGACGTCGTCTGTGACCTTGCGGAAAGTCCAATTGAACATGATATGTTGATTTTTATGTTCTGTTAATGCATTAAGTGACGAGTATTAATTGAATAATCGTTGGGTAACATGTATTGAAGACGTATTGAAGATCTGTGACCTTGAAATCTGTTGAATTCGTTCCGTTATTCGAATGGGATAGGGTTTGCGGTTTGGACGCAGAATGTTTTTTCATTAGATTTTTCGTTTTCAATTATACGAATAATCTATTGTCTATTCACGAATACGCATATATTGGGAATCTGTGACGTAAATGCATATGGATATGATTGCCTGTGACCTTACTGTAATGGGAATAGGGCTCTGAATGTGATCTTAATATGTGAATGAGATTGAAGTTTGTTGTGAATATGTGACTTGACTGAAAAGATTTTGTATGCCTGTGACCTGACTGTTAACATGGTTGATGATGTGTCTTTAGTAATATAATGTCCATGTGTGACCGTTTCACCTATATGTGACCAAGAATTCTCAATGTAAAGACACTTACATGTACAGCTACTACTTTCCATCACAGTTGTGGCTCTAATGGTTGAAGACCAAACCAAAGTTAAAAACGAATGAAAAATATATGTCTAGTAATATGCATGTAAATGAGAAGACTTTGTATGCTTGTGAGCTGACTATTAACATGGTTGATGATGTGCTTTAGTAATATGATGTCCATATGTGACTATTTCACGTATATGTGACCTGAATTTAACTTATATGTGACCATTTCACCTAAATGCGTTTCCTTTTCTCTGTCTCTGAATTACAATGCAGTTACTTAACAATTTTATAATTATTAACGCTTTATATAGGTATGGCAATTCAAAATACCTGAAAAAAAGTTGGTTTCCTGGAAAGATTACCACCTCTGTCTACAAGGGTGTTCTCATCACTATACAATCAAAGTTAAGTCAAAGCCAAAAACAGATATTAAGGGGCACATGCTTTGCCCACTTCCTGGATTGCTATAAAATAGTGATTCAACCACAGTTGATTCACTACTTCCTTCTGAGGCAGGTTCGACACTTGAATGAGGAAGAAATATGGTTTTATGCTTCCGGGCGATACGTTAGGTTCTCTATATCTAAGTTCTGTTTGGTCACAGGACTAAAATGTTCAGGTGATAAGAGACTCAGGTTTTTGAAAATAGGTAGTCAAGGTTGCAGGCCAAATACTTTTCACAAGTAGATGCTGTCACACATGAAGATGCGAAGGACACATTTCTATCTACATGCCAAATGCGTGATCTCGATCTACTTGAAGCCCTACCAGACAATGATGTTGCAATGTTTGGGGTTTTATATTTCCTAACTGCCTATCTCTTTCCCCGTGACTACAAGAAGGTTGTCGGCCACTTCCTATTTGTTCTCGTTGAGGACTTTAATAAAATGAACAATTTTCCATGGGGCAAGCTACTATTCCAAATTACTCTGGGTGCACTAAGAGATGGACTCAATAGGAGGACCCCCACACTACGGGCTACAAGGAATGCTTGTAGCCTTCCAAGCATGAATATACGAGACTTTTCACAGTCTTAATGGCATCGTGGTCACAATGATATCAAAGGTGCATCCTCGCATTATAAACTTGATCAGATGAGCAACCATTAACTG